AAAAAAACAGGACCTAAAATTTTCAGGCATCTTTAAACACTATCCTACATGTTATTCAGCACGATAAAGTCCAATGGACTTACTAAAGGCTTTAATGCCCATCTTACCAAACGAACTCTTGTTATTATGGACCATAAAGAACAAAATCATGTCATCTCAGCAAACATCAACTCATGGAGTAAATACAAAAATCAGATAACAGCCAAATCCACCTCAGGAAACACGTTACAAGATGTAAAACATTCCTGGAATTTAAGGTTATGAAATAAAGTATAAAAAAAATTCCAGAAATGCAGTGATAATACAGTAGTAAACATGACTTAGAAAGGCATCAACAAGTGTCAAGAACCTCGTGCTCATGAAAATACATAGGCACAATATAATCACACCCTATAGCGCAGCAAATATTGAGTTTGCAGTTGCCTAGCTGCCTTCCAATTCATAGAAATGCATCCTTTTCCAGCAGTTTTAGTACTTCATCTTGATTGTTTAGTTTCGCGACATCAATGGGTGTCTTGCCATCCAAATTCTGAAGAGTGCTATAATAACAAAACAAAAGCACAGAACGAAACAATTAATAAGCATTAACGAACCTGCAAATGGCAGAAAAGATTACAGGGACTTACACAGAAGCACCATTCTTCAAAAGTAACTCAACACAGTCCTTCTTGCCGTATCCAGCAGCATAGTGGAGAGAAGTGTTTTTATTCTTATCCAAAGCATCCACCTTAGCACCAGCCTCCAGAAGAACTTGAGCACAATTGAACTGGAATTGAACAAGTGCGCTAAAAAGAATTAGGGAAGGTCATCTAAGAAAAAATTGAGGAACTAAGTTGCACTCACCAAAATTAAAAAGAAAAATAAAGAAGAAAACAGAAAAAGGTAGGGACATGAGCAGAAAGTAGAAGACACAACAATGAAGCAAAAATGATAGATAAATACAACAAAAACTTGAAGAGAAGATTGATACAGAAGGGAGAATACGACGACAAAATACCCTGTGGGATGTGATAAAATAGAAAGAAATTTCTGACTGGAGAACAAACAAGAAGTGAGATGAACCAATCATCTCTCCTATTGTGGGACTTTGCATATAAATACGATATACAAAAATAATGAAGCACCAAAAGTGTCTTCCTAAGAGAAGCGACAATGAAAAGTCAAAAGCAAGATTTAATGTATGATTACACATACCTCACCATATCCACATGCAAAATGCAACGCTGTCCTTCCCTCAGAATCTTCTTCGTCTTTATCAGCACCATCTGCTAGCGCTTTCTTCAAGCCCTAATTATTCCATAAAAGCGAGTGGAGTATTTTTGAAGAAACTTTATCAAATTCACCGAAAAAAAGAACCTTAAATAGGAGACTAGGAGTATTACAAGTAAATTTAGAAAAATTAAATTAAATTCTGCTGTTAAATTATTTTCTGGGCATCGAATGCTTAATAATTACTTTCACCACAAAGCACTAATTAGCTGAAAAATGTACCTTCACATTACCAACACTAGCAGTGTGATGAACAATGGATTCCTCTTCATTCACTTCCTCTGTTTCGTCTTCTCCAGCAGCATCTTCAGCAGAAGTGGCAGTTTCCCCTCCCACAGCAAATCCCATTGCTTCACCCAGCTTCTGGAGAACATCTTTATCATTCCAGTACCTGATTGACAAAAACACCTTTTTAGTACAGTTAAATTGTGAAGTAAATCAGTTCAACAGCGAAAATACTACGAAAATCCTACACCTAATAAATAATTAAGAGAAATTTAAAGAGTCCTAGCAATGAGGCCACAACTTCATATTGATCCGAGGACTGTACTAATCAAAAATCAAGAAACATGATCCAGATGTAGACGAAGAGATGTCAACAGGACATCATGAAGAAATCGATGCCAACTATATACCTGAAAAGAAAATATGTGTAAAAAGAAAATCAAGTAATGATTTTAATACATCCCATAGGTTCCTTCTATCCAAATAAATTAAGAGATCTATCAATGATGGAAAAGATATTTCTATTCAAAAGCAGTATTCTGTAATATAAAGACATGTCTAGTGTGCAAGAGAGCGTGAATATGAAAATCATACTCACTTCTAGCTTGTGGCTCTTGTAATTTCACACAGAATGTAAAGAAAAAACATATCCAAGAATTTTCTACCACATTGATCTTCTACAACCACCAAAGGACACTTAATATCACGAGTTCCTTCTCAAAGTGTTTGTCAATCCCTAAAGCCAGTTCAAATATGTTTGAAATTTCTAATTATGTTCAAGACAAGCATCATTTACTCAGCATGCATATCCAGTTCAAATACTAGATTTTTTTAACTTCATTCCCATAGATTGGAGTACACAGCATCTATAGATTTCTTCATTAAAATTTGTAAATCCTTAAATAAAATTCAAGCAATCAAAAAACTAAAATAAGCAATCTACCATCTCCATAATCTACCATTTGAAGAAGCTCAAGACAATTCAATTTAACATCATTCTCCATCATTTCGTGTTTTAAACCAGAAGGATAAACCAATAGGAGAAAAATACTCTGGAACAATAAGTTCAGTTAGCCAACCGCTGACATGTCCGCAAGAATGAGTGCTCATTTTAAATCGAAAGTAACACGGTATTTTATATATAATAAAATATTAATTCTGAAAATATGAAATTGAGGCAACTGTGAATAAAAGATAAGCTTTCATGACCTCATCATAGCAGCTGGACCACCATTCTCTATCTCTTCCAAAATAGGTTTCAATGATGGATCTTCTTTAATGTGTGCCATTCGTTCTTCGAGCTGATTTTTATTAGCTGGATTTGCCAAACTTTCCATCATGCTAGACATGGATGGATCCTTTACAGAAATGAGCATAATTCACTTGCAAATACTAGCCATTTCTGAATTGATAATTAATCATAAACTCAGGAATATTGAACTGAGTGATACCTGCATCAATGTGTTACCCAGCCGCTCAGCCATGGTCATAAATTGAGGATTTTGCATAACCTGTTGCATTGTGGAATTGTATTGTTGTGTATCGAAGTTAGGGATGCCATCTTCTACTGCAGCGCCTTGAAAGGTTTTCTGAAGTTGTTCTGCCATCTGATTAAATGAAGGATCTTTTGCTATCTGTTCAGCTAATTCCTTGATGCTTGGATCCTGTACAGGCACAGAATAGTTTTAAGAAAATAAAACGACTTATAAGTGTTGCAAAGAGAACCATACACAGTGTGTGCTGATAATGTCTCATGCAACGCGTATATTTTGTCCCAATATATACCACATGCTTTTTGGTTTCACCTCTCATAGTTGTATCAAAATCGACAAGGTTACACCACCAATTATGGGCTTAAAGATTATGCCTAAAATGCTCCATCTATTTCTCCATTTTTTCAGTGAAATAATACTGGTTAGAGCAAAACATTTCGGTGGGAAAAATATATATTGAACCCCCATTCTCACTTCATCAGAATGGGAACTGCATATCAACATGCAAGTAATTTATCAACTTGAACAGGATTTGGGTGATGAGAACGTACATTGAGTAATCCAGTCATAGCTGAGAAATCAAAAGGATTGGGCATCCCGGCAACCGACGCAGGGGTTGATCTTCTCTCCCCTGATTGTGTTTGCACAGAGGTTGCCCCAGTAGAAGTTTTATTCTCGGCTGCATCAGATTTTTCTTCTGAAACGGCAGCTTATGTGAACTTTCTTAGGTAATAAAATAACAAATGACATTTCCAGACATGATATGCAGCAATACAGATCTCAATGGGTGTTTAGGATGTTTGCCTATACATGTAAAAAAAAAAGATCTCAGAACACTTTAGTACTACGAAAACAAGAGAAAGTACTATTTAAGCAATTTTTATGAAGACTCCCATCACCCCCGGCAGAAAGTGGAAACATTGAGGAGAAAAGAAAGATACTTTCTTTGAGTCAAAAAATGCGGAAAAATTGTCATTAGATTCCATTTTTTTCTTTTTTTTTATAGGTGGAACAAAGTACAGCCAACATATATTCAACAATTACAATACAATTTTCATCTTCCAATTGAGCCTAAACATGGCAACTTGTGCTCAAGGACCTCCTCAATCTCTTTTGCCATAATCTACCAAAGCCACAATTGTGATCAAGACTTCTTCACATTTGGAAACTGCAGTACATAAAACAATATGACTAGTTTGGACAATAACTTAGTTATTGTTAACTGTACAGTTGAGGTCGTAGAGAAGCCGTCCTCAACGTTCAGATCCCAACACTTCCCAGTGTGAATAAACAAATTCAAAACTGTAATTCAACAAATTTAATAAGAGTGAAGTCTATTAAAGCAATCACTAACTTTCCCAAACTATTCCAGGTTCTTGTCACAAAGCCTCATTCTTATATAGCCCCTGTTTGATAGGGATTCAAATATTTTAATAAAAGTTAATGAAATGTGTTATTGAAATGTTGTGAGCCCCATAAAATATGTAGTTAAAATTAATTATTAACTTTGACATTAATAAAAATCTAAGTTATAATTTTTATCAAACAGGAACATAATTTTGTGTAGAAATTCTATAATATCATTACTCATTCTGTACTTCATATTTTTGGTCTTCATCTAGTTACTATTCACGGTCAACCTCAAAATTTAATGTTTAAAAATTTTATTCCCATTTTCTCACCCTACTTCTACAAGCAGTAAATTCATCTGAGTAGCAATCACAACGAACAATCTACCATACAAATAACCTAGAATCTAGTGATTCCAAGGAGTTCCTTCCAAGCAAGTAGATAATCTGAAATATGATAACTTGGGTTTCTAAGTAAGGCATAAGCCTTAAGGCGCTTTAAGGCAAGGGCGGAGCCAGCCCTTCAAACTAGGGGGGTCCCGGAGTTGAAGGGGCGGGGGCTTACGGGGGTTCGCCCCGAAATTTTTTTTTGAAACATTATCTATTAAAATGAGGAAAGTTGGTACTTTGTGATGGAGAAATGAAACAAATGAACATAAATTAATGTACGAAGACTTCACAGAAAAATCAAGAAACATATAAAAGAAACTACTAATCTTTTGAAATACCTCTCCATCACTGAG